CTGAGTTGTTGTTATTCACATCGTCGTGATTGTGCGCTGCTAAAATTGTCGATTTTTTATCACACGGGCTATCGTTATTCGTTTTTTTCCGTTCGGTATACCTGTAATATTGTACTGGTTGTTAGTGGAAAGTGCAGTTCGTTGCGATAATCATCTAATTAGAGCATATTTTGTGTTGTGAAAACAGTGAAAAAGTTATCCAATCAGACATATTGTCTAGCATTGGGCGATCTTGAGATTCCAATTCCTCTTTGCGTATTAGAGCATCTCCACCGCTGTTTCTAAATCACTTTTGGAAACTGAGTCAGCATGACTTTCGCTTGTGACAAATGCGCTAAACCAGTTAAAGGCAATGAATAATCCGTCTCCTGCATGGCTTTTTTGCTACAGGACAGTTTGTTCTCTGTTTTGTGCGTGCGTTCGCTCTCATAGTTTTCGGCTGCAATTGCCGGATTATCGCTGGCGCTCTACCTCCCGGACGTTTATACGTGTGTGATTGGTAGTTTTCTCGCTTTCCGGGAAGTTTTAGAATAGAGAAAGAAAACGTGATTCAACATGTTTGCAAGCATAAGAAGAGATGTCGCGATCTGCGTTGTTTGATTTTCTCCCGGACCAGAAATTAGTGGTATCGCGAGTGATAATTTTTAATTTCAGTTTATTTACGCGCTGCAAGGTGCGTGAAAGAGCTCGGCACATTCGGTGTTGATGTTGGCTCGCTTATAACTTTTTTGGTTGTGTTTTCCAAAGAAATTGATCGAAATTGTACCAAAAGTGCTTCTGAACGTGTTTCGCAGTTGGGGGTGGTGAAATTCGTGAATTCGCGGTTTATGGTCAGTGAAAATTCCGTGTCACAAAATTGCTCACCGAGTTCCCTTTTTTTTGCCGTTTGACGACGACGGGTTTGCGAGAGAAAAATAAGCATCGGGAATTTTCTCCCGGATGTATTGATTTGGTGAGTACGTTCCAGTTGGAGATTTTTCTTATACATATCTCGATTGCATTTTCGAGGGGACGTTCGGAGAGCTTTGAGATTTAGGCGTTGTTGCATTTGCGGGCAGATGAGTTGATCACCGGTAAGGGCCAGTAAGTGCTGCCAGCAGATAAATCAAGAGGTATTCGAAACAAAATTGATAAGAAATGTCCATTCAAATCGATTTAATACAGTTGAACAAATCTCAAAACTATATACGTGCCAGATTTGGAAATAATATTTTTTGAATCTGGAAGTGTGTTTATGATACCATTATCCATTTGATAAAGGTAGAGTGAACATGCGGGGCTTATTGTAAGTAAAAGTGACCTCGGAGTGGTCGTGAATTACCAGGCATTCTGAAATGGGTCACTGGAGCTGCAATAGAGCTAACACCTTCTAACTCCCGGACTAAACCTGCTTTAATTTAAGGGTAATAAAAAGCAGTTTTCTTCCATAATAACACTGCCGGACAGTGGGGGTTAGATTGTACACACACACACACACACACACACACACACACACACACACACAACTGTGATAAAATTTTAGCTTGTTTAGTTAAAAACAAGTTTTTTAATGAATACCCGTTGGTTTCATATCGATTGGTAGCTCGGCTGCAAAATGGCAATGGAAAACTCACACTGTTGTACAAAGTACAACGCGCGAGTACTCGTGTTATAAAAGTTGGCGCGAGTAACGGAGGGTTAAAGGGGGGTTTCGTGAGAGTTGGTCTTTTGGTGGCTTCATACCTGAAAATTTATTTCAATTTTCTTATCTTATTTTGTAGTTCAATTCATTTATTCATCATTTCAGTAAAAACAGTAGTTCATCAGTAAAGTGATTCAGTAAAAACAAAGAGAATTGCAAATTTGATCATAAATCAATCCTTATTGACTATTTTATCAAGAATATTTCCCCTGATTTCACGAAGTAAAAACTGCCGTTCCAACGGCAATTGGTTTTCCTCAGCCCATGTGATGATAGTGTCAATCATACTTGGCATACTTAGTTTTGGTCACGAACTGCTCATTTGCTAATAACTTTGCACACAGTTGACAAAACATAGTTCTGTTTGAAGAAGTAGATAGAATAAAGTTTTAACTTGTAATAAGTACGTACGAAAAAGTAGACTTTAATTCTAGTAATAAACTGTAATTGTTTTGCGTTGTAAAAATCAAGTGAGAAATGCTCGCTGCACATCTCGTACTTAAAGTGTAAAAATTCATTGGTGTTGATTCAAATGTTAAGATTAACCTACTTTTTGCATATCTGTAGCAAGCTATGATCCTAATCTATCAATTACTTTAAAGAAACACAAATTTCAGCAACTGAGTGAAAAATTATTATCAAATGAGCAGTTTGTGTGTACAACTGTGCATGCCAAGCATGGTGTCATACTGTTCAGCGCTGATTGATCTGGAACTGGTTCGTACTCCTCATCTTGGTTGTCATCTGCTGTAGAAATGTTTGCAGTTTCATCCAGAGTGGTGTTCGTCACGCTTTCTCCTTCATAAAAATAATCATGGTTAAGGGGGTATTCCCGATCTTTTTTTTCAAAAAATCAAATTTTTTTTTTCACGTTTTTTTGTACTTTAGACTATATACTTTCATCCCCCCAAGCCGTTTTCCGATCAGCGAATTCGGTGTCCAGGCATAGCTGACTAATGGTAAGAACCCCCAAATGGTTTTAACTAAAGTCAAAACTTTAAACGCGTTTTTCTCGAAACCACATTTTTTTTTATCGGGCGAAGATTTTTCTCAGAAACTATAAGAGATATTGACTTGAATTTTTGCGCATTTTGTTCCTTATTAAATTTTTTGGAGCTTCTCCCACTTTCAGCCAAAAATATTAACATTTAACATTGTTTGAAGCACCTTAAAGCTGCAAAACAGCGGGCTAAAAATCGCCTGTTTTTTCATATGGCCGCCATTTTGTTAATTTGCAAGATTTTTTGCTGCCAACGGGAGAAGCTCCAGAGAATCTTATGCAGATTATAATTTCATCACGAAATCTGTTTCAGATGAAGCCGTTCCAGAGAAAAGTCTTCGCCCGTCCAGGCGTTTACGGCGAACAGGGGTCTGTTTGCCGCCATTTTGTGACGTCAATAATGTCTTTTTTTGTGTCGAAAAAAATTTATTTGTAAACTTTAACGTTCAGTAAACAAGAATCCCAAAGAGTTAGGCGCATTACTATTCATTTTCCTTGAAAAAAAATTAATTGAAAAACAGGCCGAAAAAAGGCAAAAGATTGGGAATACCCCCTTAAGAACAGCATTGACTATGTCAGCATCAGACATGACATCGAATTCCGCATTCTCGTCTTCATTTTCGCCTGTAGCCGCTTTATCAGCAACCATCAGTTGAATTGTTACACTATCATCCCTAGAGCACCGGAACTAATATTTGCAATGTTAACATTTCAAAAATATTAATGGAAAATGGTCGAAATTGATCGAGTGCGTCAAGTTAGGAACCGCGTCAAATATGGTGCCTTCACGGTAGCCGTGATTTTTAGCCAAGCTCAACTTTGTCTCTACAAACTTGTGAGAGTCGTGAGACTACAATTTTTCTCAAGTTGAGGGGTCCCATGCGTGATTTGCAACACGTTCGCTTCTCAAGCGGATGGTCCATGGGTTCAATTCCATTGATCTTCTTATCGAATTTTGATGCATTTTAATGTGCCTCTAGATAGGTTATTGAAGTCCGATTCTGGTCACTTTCCCGGGGCACCTGAAACTTGTCCGGAAGTGGCCAATATGGTTCAAGATACTTAATTTTTTCCACCATTGATTTTGATATCAAATTTTGATTTAATTTGATGTGTCGCTTAATGGGTTTTGTTCCTTTCAAGTCAAATTTAGCCTCATGGCCCATAAACGCCGGAACTTATTCCGGCCATATCTACAAAACCAGCGGTTCGATTCCATAATCCTTCAATAGCGTACAATGGGACCACTAAAAACATTAAATGAGACCACATAAGACCAAAAAATTTTTTTTTTATGGCTTGATTATCCGGAGGGCTCTTTTATCCGGAGTGAAATTTTTTTCAAGACTCCGGATAATCGATTCCGCCCTGTAACTGCAGTATCTAGCAATTAAAAATTCATCCAATGCCAAATGATTTGAAAATTCTGTCGAGTAATCATCCCGATTTTGTCACCATTCCTTCTCAATTCTCCCAGCCTACCATACCATACACCACAAATCGAATCCATAAAACAATCACGGCCATCCAGTGTAGTTAGCTCCAGCGGAATATTATCCAACAACTACGGAAACCAGTCCCCGGTTGCAGCAACATCCAATTCAGAGTAGCGTGTTTGATAATTCCACAATCAGATTGTTATCGAGTGAAAATTCAATTTAGAATTCTGCCCTCCACCATCCCCACCCAAACACCGGCCCGGAAAAGTCAATTGGGAAATTGAGTGGCACGCAATCGACAGCGAGCGTGTCTCTCACCATTACAAAGGCACATACACATCAGCCACGTGAGGATCGCTGTTGTTGCTTATTGTTGAAAAACTGAACGACTGCTGGCCGAACGTGGAGTGGATTATTGGTGGCATCCTCGAGGGTTGGGATTATTGCCGGATTAAACCCCGATAATGTTTTTTTTTTCATTTATACCGGCTGTAAATTGATCCCGGCGATGAAATAATGGTCAATGTTCAGTGATACGGAACAATTTCGGCATCCGTAGAATGTAAAATGTTTTAAATTAGCGGACGGAACGAATTGAATTCAATTGAAAATATGAGCTGGAAAGTGGAATGTTTTCCGTTTGATTGGATGTGATCAACTGGAATTATTCCGTTTGACAGTTTTAATATTTAACGAATCAACAATAAATGGAAGCGGGTACCGGGTTATTTATTTTTTTATAGGAAAAAGACCGAATATTCTGTGTCGAGTGGGACAAGAGAATGAGTTTCCTTCGTCAATCACAAACATGATGTAGGTATGTAGACATTCAAATAAGCAATCGCTAGCACACGAACAGAGCAAATAGCGAGTATCTTACCTTAAACACTTGCCGGCAGAGGAAGTTTTCCTTCACGGGGAGCAATCTGTTGGAGGAGAACGAGACAGAGAGAATTAGGGTTAAGTTGACTAAAATAGTAGGGCAAATTTTGCGGAAATTTTCTACACAGGTTAAAACTTTCAATACCACTCGCAAAAACAATGACGACAACCAACGATGGTGGCAACGAAAGCAGAGCAACTTTTTGACTGTGAAAATTGAGTTAAATGAAGCTGTGTGACCGCAATCCTTTGGGATGGGTTTGGTGAGAGTCAGCGGATCGGGTCATTGGTATCATCACTGTGGAATGTGATTTTGTGAGTGTAATGTTTTAATTCAGATGTGTGCAACTCGATGAGATGAGTTTAGCTGATTGCAGTATCACACTATTTGCCAAAATGCAAAAAATTAAATAATTAGTCTATATACTAGTTTTACGCCAAATGACGAATCGATAAGGCTCGACCTTCTCCGATTTGCAGGAAACTGAACGAAATGACATTCGAGACAAAGTTGACTTAGCTCAAAGTTTTAATTCACTCAACGTTTGTAAACCTCCCTCGTGGATGATCACACTCCGTGGAAATCAAGAGACGGTTGCAATTTGCTAAAATCTCAGTTAATGGCATCAATTCCATGGACGTTAATTTAATATCATCAATCTTGGCCTTGCTCTTCTCGATTGCCACCATACCCTGCGCCGTTTCTGTTCCGGCAAGCTCGGCAATCTGAAGGACAAAGTGCCATAATAAAGTTATCATAACTCACTGGGTGCCAACCACCCTCCCCCTTTATCCGACTACAAAAGGATAAATATTCCAGTAAAACCACCCGAATGCCATGTGGGCTCGTAAAATTTAATCACATGTCAAATTGCGCCTCAGCGTGGTCCGACCACGCTGCAACCGGTCGGTGTCACCATCGTGATTTTTGCCACTTCGTATCAAACCAAATTGGCAGGTAGGTCACTGAGTGAGTGCGGTACTTACTTGGCCATTTCGGAGAGCTGCAATCGACCGTCCTTGTTGGCGTCGAATACCCGGAGCTGCAATGGAGAAGAATCAAATTTTCCTTAAGCTGAAAAAACCGTTTTTCCAAAAAAACAGAAGATCATTACCATTGTGTCGGTGTACTCGATTAGTTTATCCTCTGACACGTCGTTAATTTTCTTGGCTTCCTTCAGAAGGTCACGGAGGAAATTCTGTTGATTAGGAGGGGAGGGAAGAACAATGTAGTAAATAAGACGTGAAATGTTCGTGAAGCCATGGCGGTTCACGGCTTAATGGCGAGCGAGCAAGATTTCGTTTCTTGTGGTCGGGATTCCAGTGGTGGCGCATTGCGATGGGTGTTGAACGCAAAATGCTGCGAGTTCATTAAAATCCTTTGAAGGTCCTTAAGTTGATGGTGCTGACGGTGTGAGTTACTGATAAGTTTCAACAAGAGCTTCCTTCGGTTAGTTGGAAAAGCAAGATGTGAATCAGCTTGGTTATTTTCCAATTTTGGTTTGCTGTGAAGAACTGTGATTCGTAGGAGGCTTATTATTGTCATAATAATGAGTATAATAAGCCTAGCATGATTGACAGTTAGAACAACAAAGGTCAGAGAAACCTTATCTGCTACAATAGTGGTTGTCAGACATTCGTCGCACCAATATTGAAGACAGTTATTACAAAGCCAAAATAATGTTTCAGAATTATCAAAAAAGTCTACATAATACATATTTGCCCAAAGTTCGCAAATATAGGCATGACAAGACGAAATAGCTTAAATACGCCAAAGTAGCCAAAGCAGAAGAGTTTCAATCAAGCGAAATTTGAGTTCCAGTTCAATTCAAATTGAGAAGCTTAAATTGAAAAGATCAAATTGAGAAGTATGAATTGAAAAGTTCAAATAGAGAAATCCAAATTGAGAAACTCATGTTGAGACACTCATATTAATAAACATAAATTACATGTTTATGTTGAGAAGATCAAATTGAGACGCGCAAATTGAAGATCAAATTTAAAAAAAATTAATTAAGAAGTTCAAGATGGAAAGCTCCATTTGAGAAGTTTGAATTGAGAAGATAAAATTGAGATCTTTAAATTGAGAAGTTCAAATTGAAAAATTCAAATAGAGAAGATAACGGCGCCGGTGGTGTAGTGGTAAGCGTGATTACCTCTCACCCCAGCAGGCCTGGGTTCAATCCCAGTCGGCGCCGCCGGGATGTTCTGAGGCATAACATCTCTGATCACGCCTTCCTTCGGATGGGAAGTAAAGCCGTTGGTCCACGGTTCATGAGTTGATGGGTCGATAGGTAGGGTCTAGGTGTGGGAGCTGCCTTCCTAGCACGTCGGTAGCATTGGTGCTCAGCACGGAAAACAAGATCGACGGAAAAAAACAAACCAAAGGAAAAAAAAAAAAAAAAAAAAAAAAAATAGAGAAGATCAAACTGTGCACTTCAAATCCAGAATATCAAATAGGGATGTTCAAAATGAGAAGAACATGCTCAGACGCTCATATTGAGAAGTTCAAATTGAGATGTTCCAACTGAGATTTTGAATTGAGAAGATCAAGTTGAGAAGTCCAAATTAAGAAGTTCAAATTGTGAACTTCAAATTGTGAACTTCAAATTGAGATGTTTTCAAATTGAGATGTTTTCAAATTGAGATGTTTTCAAATTGAGAAATTCTAATTGAGAAGCTCAAATGGAGAAGTTTGAATTGAGCAGTCCGGATTGCGTAGACCAAATTGAAATTTTTAAAATGAGATGTTCAAAGTGAAAAGTTTAGATTGAGATGTTCCAATTGGTAAGCTTGATTTACTATGCTCAAATTGACTCGATTGGAGAAGTTCAAATTCAGAATGCCAAATTGTGGTGTTCAATTGAGATGATAATGTTAAGACGCACACATTGAGAAGCTAAATTGCAAAGTTTAAATTGCGATTTTCAAATTAAAAACTTTGAATTGCAAAGTTCAAATTGATGTTCAAATTGATGCTCAAATTGAGAAGTTCAAATTCAGAATATCAAATAGTGATGTTCGAAATGAGAAGTTCATGTTGTTACCTCATGTTAAGAAGTTCAAATTGAGAAGATTAAATTGAGAAGATTAAATTGAGAACATCCACTTGTTCAAATTGAGCTGTTCAAATTCAGATTTTTAAATTGAGAGATCAAATTGAGAAGTCCAATTCCAGAAGTTCAAATTTTGAAGTTCAAATTTTGCAGTTGAAATTGAGATGATTAAATTAAGAATTTGAAATCGAGAAGTGCAAATTGTGAAAATCAAATTGAGCTTTTCAAATTAAAATTTTTAAAATGGAAAGTTCAAATTTAGAAGTTGAAATTAAGAAGATGCAAATTAAGAAGATGCAAATTGAGCTGTTCAAATTGAGAAGTTTGAATTAAGAAGTCCGGATTTTGAAGTTCAAATTGAATTTTTTTAAATGAGATGTTCAAATTAAGGTTCTCATATTGAGAATTTCAGATTGAGATCTTCCAATTGGTAAGCTCGATTTGCTATGTTCAAATTGAGAAGATTGAATTGAGAGGTTCAAATTGAGAAGTTCAAATTCGGCAACCTCGATTGGAGAAGATCAAATTGAGAAATTCAAATTCAGTATGCCAAATTGCGATGTTCAATTGGGATGTGCATATTGAGACGCTCACATCGAGAAGCTCAATTGACAAGTTTAAAATGAGAAGTTCAAATTAAGAACTTTGAATTGCGAAGTTCAAATTGAGAGGTTCAAACTGATGCTCAAATTGAGAAGTTAAAATTCAGAATATCAAATAGAGATGTTCGAAATGAGAAGTTCATGTTGCGACCTCATGTTGAGAAATTCAAATTGAGAAGATCAAATTGAGAAGTTCATATTGTGAAGTTCAAAATGAGCAGTTCCAATCAAGAAGTTCAAATTGAGAAGATCTAACTGTTCAAATTCAGATGTTTAAATTGAGAAGAGCAAATTGAGAAATCCAATTTGAGAAGTTCAAATTGTGCAGTTGAAATTGAGTAGATTAAATTGAGAATTTCAAATCGAGAAGTTTTAATTGAGAAGTGCGAATTTTGAAAATCAAATTGAGCTTTTCAATTTTTTTTTTATAATGAGAAGTTCAAATTGAGAAGTTGAAATAGGAAATTCAAATTGAGAAGATGCAAATTGAGTTGTTGAAATCGAGATGTTTAAATTGAGAAGTTCAAATTGAGAAGCTCAAAAGGAGAAGTTTGAATTGAGAAGTCCGGATTGTGTAGTTCAAATTGAGCTGTTTTAATTGAGATTTTCAAAATGAGAAGTTCATATTAAGGTTTTCAAATTGAGAAGTTTAGATTGAAATGTTCCAATTGGTAAGCTCGATTTGCTATGCTCAAATTGAGAAGATTGAATTGAGAGGTTCAAATTGAGAAGTTTAAATTCAGCAACCTCGATTGGAGAAGTTCAAATTGAGAATCTCAAATTGAAAAGTACAAATTGGGAAGTTCAAATTCAGTATGCCAAATTGTGATGTTCAATTCAGATGTTCATGTTGAGAAGCTCACATTGAGAAGCTCAATGGACAAGTTTAAATTGAGATGTTGAAATTAAGAACTTTGAATTGCGAAGTTCAAATTGAGAAGTTCAAACTGCTGCTCAAATTGAGAGGTTAAAATTCAGATGTTCAAATAGAGATGTTCGAAATGAGAAGTTTATGTTGCGACCTCATGTTGGGAAGTTCAAATTGAGAAGATCAAATTGAGAAGTTCAAATTGTGAAGTTAAAATGGAGCAGTTCCAATCAAGAAGTTCAAATTGAAAAGATCCAACTGTTCAAATTGAACTGTTCACATTCAGATTTTTAAATTGGGAAGATTAAATTGAGAAGTCCAATTTAGGACGTTCAAATTGTGAAGTTGAAATTGAGATAATTTAATTTAGAATTTCAAATTGACAAGTTTTAATTGAGAAGTGCGAATTGTGAAAATCAAATTGAGCTTTTCAAATTAAAATTTTCAAAGTGAGGAGTTCAAATTAAGAAGTTAATATTGAGAAGTTAAAATTAGGAAATTCAAATTGAGAAGATGCAAATTGAGCTTTTCAAATTGAGATGATTAAATTTAGAACTTCAAATTGATAAGCTCAAATTGAGAAGCTTGAATTGAGAAGTCCGATTTATGAAGATCAAATTGAGCTGTTCAAATTGATACTTTTAAAATGAGATGTTCAAATTAAGGTTTTTAAAATTGAGAAGTTTATATTGAGATGTTCCGATTGGTGAGCTCAATTTGCTATGCTCAAATTGAGAGGATTGAGTTGAGAGGTTCAAATTGAGAAGCTCAAATTGAGAAGTTCAAATTACCTCGCTTGGAGAAGTTCAAATTGAGAAGTTCAAATTCAGTATGCCAAATTGTGATGTTCAATTGAGATGTTCATGTTGAGGCGCTCACATTGAGAAGCTCAATTGTCAAGTTTAAATTGAGATTTTGAAATTGAGAAGTTCAAACTGTGGAGTTCAAATTGAGAACTTTGAGAATTCCAAATTCTGAATATCAAATATAAATGTTCGAAATGAGAAGTTCATGTTGTCATGATCATCATGTCGAGAAGTTCAAATTGAGAAGATCAAATTGAGAAGTTTAAATTGTGAAATTAAAATGGAGCAGTTCCAATCAAAAAGTTCAAATTGAGCTGCTTAAATTCAGATTTTTAAATTAAGAAGATCAAATTGAGAAGTCCAATTTTAGAAGTTCAAATTGTGCAGTTTAACTGAGATGATTAAATTGAGAATTTAAAATTGAGAAGTGCGAATTGTGAAAATCAAATTGAGCATTTCAAATTATAATTTTTAAAATGAGAAGTTCAAATTGAGAAGTTGAAATTAAGAAATTCAAATTGAGAAGATGCAACTTGAGCTGTTCAAATTGAGATGTTTAAATTGAGAAGTTCAAATATAAAGGATCAAATTGAAAGGATCAAATTAAGAAGTTCAAATTGAGGAGTTCTAACTTGACAACCTCGATTTGCGAAGTTAAAATTTAGGATATCAAATTTTGATATTCAAATGTTCATTTTGTGACGCTCACATTGAGAAGTTCAATTAAAAATTTTATTGAGATTTTCAAATTTAGAAGTTCAATCTGTGGCGTTAAAATTGGATGGCTCAATTTGAGAAGTTCAAATTGAGATGTTCAAATTGAAAAGTTAAAATTGAGATTTTCAAATTGAAAAGTTAAAATTGAGCTGTCAAAATGAGAAGCCAAAATTAAGAAGTTCAAATTGAGAAGTTCAAATTCAGAAGTTCAAATTGAGAAGTTCAAATTGAGAAATTCAATTTGAGATGATCCAATTGAAAAGTTCAATTTGAGCTGTCAAGTTAAGAAACCAAAATTAAGAAGTTCAAATTGAGAAGTTGAAATTGAGATGTTCAAATTGATATGTTCAAATTGAGAAGATCAAAGTAAGCTGTTCAAATTAAACATTTTTAAAATGATAAGCACAAATTGAGATGTTCAAATAGTCAATCTTAAACTTAGTAGTTCAAATCGATACTTGGAAGTTGAGCTGTTCAAATTAAGAAGATCAATTTGAGAAGTTTGGATTAAGAAGTTCCAATTCGTAAGCGTAAATTGCAATGTTCAAAATTGAGAAGATTGAATTCAGAAGCTTAAAACGACAAGTTCAAATTTAGATTTTCAAATTGAGATGTTCAAACTGTGGAGATAAAATTGAGAAATTCAAATTGGATAGCACAATTTCAGAAGTTCAAATAGAGATGTTCCAAATGAGAAGTTCATGTTGAGACGCTCATATTGAGAAGTTCAAATTGAGATGTTCAAATTGAAAGGATCAAATTAAGAAGTTCAATTTGTGAAGTTAAAAGGGAGCAGTTCCAATTAAGGAGTTCAAATTGAGAAGTTCAAATTGAGAAATTTAAATTGAGATGATCCATTTGAGAAATTTAATGTTGGCTGTTCAAATTGAGATTTTGTTACAATTGGGAGGTTCAAATTGAGAAGTTCCAATTTGACAACATCGATTCGAGAAGTTCAAATTGAGAAGTTAAAATTTAGAATTTAAAATGAGATGTTCATGTTGAGATGCTTACATTGAGAGGCTCAATTGACGAGTTTAAATATAGATAAATTGAGAAGTTATAATTGGATAGCTCAATTTAAGAAGTTTACATTGGGAGGTATAAATTGAGAAGTTCCAAAGTCAATGTTCAAAATTCATATTGGTTTAGTTCAAATTTAAAAATTCTGCAGTGCAACTTGAGAAGTCTAAACCGATAAGTTCGAATTGAGAAATTCAAGTTAAGAAATCCAAATTAAGTAGTTCAAATTGTGAAGTTGAAATTCGACGCTCAAATTGAGAAGTTCAAATCGAGTAGTTCAAATTGATAAGATCAAATTGAAAGGTTTAAATTCAGAAGTTCAAATTGAGCAGAGACGCTTGCATTGAGAAGCTCAAATTGACAACTTTGAATTGAGTATTTCAAATTGTGTTGTCAAATTCAGTAGTTCATAAGCTCAAATTGAGAAGTCCAAAATGAGGACTTCGAGTTAAGAAGTTTGGATTGAGTCGCTCAGATTGAGAAGTTCAAATCGTTAGAAGATCAAATTGAAGGAAGATCAAATTGTGAGATGATTAAATTGTGGGAATACCAAATTGAGAATTTCAAATTCATAGCTCAATTTGGAAGTTCAAATTGAGATGTTGGGTTAGGTTTTCTTTATTAGAGAGGCTTTGAATTGAGAAGCTCAAGTTCAGAGGAACAAACAGGAAAGTTCAAATTGAAAAGGTCAAACTGAGATGTTCAAAAATTGAGTAGCTCAAATCGACAAGTTTAAATTAAGATGTTTAAATTGCGGAGTTGAATTTGTGAAATCCAAATTGAGAAGATCAAATTGAAAAGTCGAAAATGATAATTTCATATTGAGAATATCAAGCTGAGAAGTTCAAATTGAGAAGCTCAGATTGAGAAGTTTAAATTCAAAGCCCAAATTGACAGTCCAAAGGGAAAAGATTGATTTGTGAAGTTCAATTGACAGGTTCAAATTTTGAAGCTAAAATTGAGATGTCCAAACAGATAAGTTCATATTGAGAAGCTCAACTGACAAGGTTAAATTGAGAAGTAAAAACTAAGGAGTTTAAATTTAAAATAAACTTGAGAAGTTCAAATTCGAGTAAAGTAAAAGTAAAGTAAAAGTAAAGTAAAAGTAAAGTAAAAGTAAAGTAAAAGTAAAGTAAAAGTAAAATAAAAGTAAAGTAAAAGTAAAGTAAAAGTAAAGTAAAAGTAAAGTAAAAGTAAAGTAAAAGTAAAGTAAAAGTAAAGTAAAAGTAAAGTAAAAGTAAAGTAAAAGTAAAGTAAAAGTAAAGTAAAAGTAAAGTAAAAGTAAAGTAAAAGTAAAGTAAAAGTAAAGTAAAAGTAAAGTAAAAGTAAAGTAAAAGTAAAGTAAAAGTAAAGTAAAAGTAAAGTAAAAGTAAAGTAAAAGTAAAGTAAAAGTAAAGTAAAAGTAAAGTAAAAGTAAAGTAAAAGTAAAGTAAAAGTAAAGTAAAAGTAAAGTAAAAGTAAAGTAAAAGTAAAGTAAAAGTAAAGTAAAAGTAAAGTAAAAGTAAAGTAAAAGTAAAGTAAAAGTAAAGTAAAAGTAAAGTAAAAGTAAAGTAAAAGTAAAGTAAAAGTAAAGTAAAAGTAAAGTAAAAGTAAAGTAAAAGTAAAGTAAAAGTAAAGTAAAAGTAAAGTAAAAGTAAAGTAAAAGTAAAGTAAAAGTAAAGTAAAAGTAAAGTAAAAGTAAAGTAAAAGTAAAGTAAAAGTAAAGTAAAAGTAAAGTAAAAGTAAAGTAAAAGTAAAGTAAAAGTAAAGTAAAAGTAAAGTAAAAGTAAAGTAAAAGTAAAGTAAAAGTAAAGTAAAAGTAAAGTAAAAGTAAAGTAAAAGTAAAGTAAAAGTAAAGTAAAAGTAAAGTAAAAGTAAAGTAAAAGTAAAGTAAAAGTAAAGTAAAAGTAAAGTAAAAGTAAAGTAAAAGTAAAGTAAAAGTAAAGTAAAAGTAAAGTAAAAGTAAAGTAAAAGTAAAGTAAAAGTAAAGTAAAAGTAAAGTAAAAGTAAAGTAAAAGTAAAGTAAAAGTAAAGTAAAAGTAAAGTAAAAGTAAAGTAAAAGTAAAGTAAAAGTAAAGTAAAAGTAAAGTAAAAGTAAAGTAAAAGTAAAGTAAAAGTAAAGTAAAAGTAAAGTAAAAGTAAAGTAAAAGTAAAATAAAAGTAAAATAAAAGTAAAGTAAAAGTAAAGTAAAAGTAAAGTAAAAGTAAAGTAAAAGTAAAGTAAAAGTAAAGTAAAAGTAAAGTAAAAGTAAAGTAAAAGTAAAGTAAAAGTAAAGTAAAAGTAAAGTAAAAGTAAAGTAAAAGTAAAGTAAAAGTAAAGTAAAAGTAAAGTAAAAGTAAAGTAAAAGTAAAGTAAAAGTAAAGTAAAAGTAAAGTAAAAGTAATATAAAAAATGTAAGTCATGTAAAAAATTGAAGCGATGCGCGTTTCTGATTATTATTCTGCATTTTATAACCTGAAAATCGTGACTGCTTATGCCAATCTTATCAGATGGCTGTGGTTGAAGTAATGTAAAAGTTAAATGAGCAAATGAGCCCACGTTGAATTAGTTTCGCAAAATACCCTCACTCAAATCCCATTTTATCCCCATGTCAAAAAACCGGCAAATCAAATTGAACTTTCAACACCGTCCGCACTAATGACCGCAGAAGTCAAGACCACTCGAAACCAAACCTTCTTCCAAGCCATCACCAAAATCTGCCATGGTTCATTGATTGGCTACCAATATTCCATCGGACAATTACCTTTAGTTCGTCTGCCTCGATGTAGCCACTGTTGTCCGAGTCGTATTCCCTCCAGATCTAGAGAGGGGAGATAGGAAAAATACATGAGTCAGGTAAAAGAGAAAAGAAGAACAGGTGGAGCCAAAGTTTTCCACAGACGTGCTGCTTCAAATTGAGTTGATTGGAGTTTGGTTTCTTCCCCCTAAGGGATGCAATCTGATAGTCTGATGGTTGAAAAATTGAGCTTGTTGGCAAAAAAATTAATCATTTTGAGATTTCAGATTCAACCGAAACAAACAAAAATCGCATCTTTAATTACGGGTCCAAATCGATTCAATCAAAATTGCAAAATGCCGATTAAATTTTCCCACCCAATTACTTACCTTCATAAATTCCACACTCGACTCCAGCGGGTTATCGAATCGGAACAGCAGCAGGAAGTTTTCCTCCATCGGCAGTAGCTGAGCGAGCTGGAAAAGAAAGAAAACACCGGACGTCAGACGGGCGATTAGTGTGTTCGGCACAATGATCTTAATTACAATTGCCTTATCATCAAATGTAATTGGATTTTGCTGCTCAGCAGAGCAGCACTCTTACTTTCTGGCACTTGAGGGAGGAATTTTCATCCTTCCTTTAACCCCCTCAGAAATGTAAAGATCCCATCGAGAGCGGCATCGTCGAGCCAAGAAAGACAATCGAGCACATACGGAGCCAAAAACTGTAAAAAGTACAGTGGGCTGCCGGTCGTCGAGAAGATGAAAACTCATCTGGGACGTGATCGGAATGGCGGCTGCTGCTGCTGTTTGGCTTGGTGTAACCGATTTTTCTGGTTCTTCTCGGCGAACGAAAAATGGTCGAATATGAAAAATTTGCGAAAAGGAAATCGAGCCAACGATAAATCGAAAATGCTGAAACAGTTGGTTCAGCCAACTAGCAATGCATGCATTACGGTTGGCAGCTGAATTATTCATCTGAAAATCATAATAATATGATTGGCAGGTTTGAACTTGTTGAACGTTGCTCAGTAAATTCGACTGAAATAGATATTTAAGGGATCATTGCATTAAAGAAGGGGTTGGAGCATTATATTTTCTTTACTTTTGCTTTACTTTTACTTTACGCTTGCTCCACTTTTACTTTACTTGAACATTACTTTCACGTTACATTTACTTTGGAAGTTCAGTTTTTTTTAAAAGGTTGAAATCCATTATTTTTTAACTTTGGTGTAGGCTACACAAACATTACATTAGGGACACCTCTGTTAGCTCAAGCAACAAACAGGATCTTATCAAGATTACACTAAATTTTCCAACTTCCAGCCGACCTTCAACCGGACAGAAGCGAATTCCATTAATTTCATCTCTTATCGCTTCACGCTCCGTCCATTAATTGAATTTAAAAGCGACCGAAAACTGTGGAGGTCAGTACGCCAAGTCCTCCCCTCGTAGCTATCTCAATCCGTTAGTAATTACGCAATTTCCCTAAAAGAAGCCACGAGAAAAAACACCCTCTGGAAGAAGGTAAGCAAAGAAACATTTTTCACTTTCATCACCACCCTATTTTGACCGAAAGCGAGAAACGAAAAATTAAACCTTTAAGAGAAAAACCTTACCCAGAAGGGGTTGGTGTGAAACAAAAGCACACCCCTTCGGGCAATCAACGGCCACCGGATGCCTGCAAGGAAGACAAAAGGACCGCCAGCGATGGAACATTTTCATAACTTACTTCTTCGGGAGTTTTTTCCTTTTTTTGGCGGAGAAACCTTCCATGGCTAGCAGAAAATGGAAACCCGGCTGCAACGCCCACATGGAGCCGAACTCTTGTTAAGGGGTTTAAGGTGAAAATTGCATCAAGTAGAAATCCTGGGAAGGACGACAGCAGAAAGTATCGAAAAATCACTGAAAATTGGTACCCGCTCATGGCGTGGATGGAATTTATTGAATTTTCAAGTGCATAATTGATTTTCATAGGATTTGAAAATGGCGGAAATGGGGTTTCATTGAAGAAGGTCTATGTTGAGCAATTTTCTTTATCTTGTTAAAATACACACCTTTCGAAAGATTCCCGTTTTGTTTTGAAGTAGGGGAATTTACGTATTCTCGGCAACCTAAGCAGCGACCTTCTTTCTATAGCCTTTTTCTCTATGGAACGCACACATATGCAGTATTGGTTTGTTTACAATCTTTTGCTGCCAGCTGCTCTAACAATTTCAGTCGAAAGAATTGTCAAAAACTGTTTTGAAACGCTTTTACAAAGCTCAAATCTTCTCTAGTGAGAGCGAGTATTGTCGGCAACTAGTTTTTCTTCGGCAACCGTTCCATTTGAACTGCATGTAAATCTGCTGTTCTATTATCGGCAACTCGAAATCAGCTACAATTTGTAGTGCGTGTGTTTCATTTCAAGAAAACCCTGCTAGATTGCTTTTTCTCAGTGGTAAAAATATAGTCAAATTGAAGCTGAAAGCATAAAGAATCGTTTGCATGCATTCAGCGAAGTGTTTTCGTAAGAAAATCCAGTGAAAATAGTGTTTCAATTTGGGTTGCCGAAAATAGTCTGTCATGCCGAAGCCGTCATTTCCCCTAAATCCGGAACTTCACGTCTATTTTTTCTTCAAAGGAACTTAAAAAGCTACACTGCTCAAGCAACATTTCCGGTTTTATATGGTCTCCAATACCAAGAAGACTGGTAACTCTTCAATTTTCTCATACGACCGCTTTGAAACAAGCAAAATCGAGTTATTTGCCGCTCAAAGGTAAATGCTTGGAACAAATTTGACAGCAAAGGTTGTACTCTTCTTCAGAAGAAAGGTTTGTGTATTTGATAGTTTTTCTATGTGTTGATTCCACCTTCGCTCAACCCGCAGCGCTACTGCACAGAACAGAAGGGGAAGTGCAAACAAATCAGTGAATCAAAAAGTGGTTCATTTTTCTGCTCAACAAGCGATGCGTTGTGGTAGCGTTCCTCACGGGCTTCTATGTTCACTCACACTATCATAGCATGCTGCCTATCTTAACGGCATGCAAAAGATGCCTTCTACCGCTAGGTGCGCTAGTGTTCGCCAATGAAGAGTGGAGCCACTTTCTGATCCAAAGTTCCACGTCTGTTCTGTGGCTACTCTCTTTCGCTTGGATTCTGGGAAAGTTGTCAGTCTTCTTGATATGATATCTTCGATTAAAACACACCTTTATGTGTTTAAGTGCCAGTGTGGGTTGATTTCTCTTAGGGGTCATTATCGTACATGAAGGCAAAGTCCCTAATCAATCGAAATTTCGTGGTATTTTTGGTGATATTGTGTTGCAAAATATTGTAATAGTTTTAACATTTTATTTTCATTACACTGCATGATGGCCACTGCAGTATAGAACATATTACCCCACACCAATGCAAATTCACCACCATGTTTCACAGCTTCACGTTTCAAGACAATAGTATCAGTTTTTTAATTTCCTTGATCATTTTAAGCACAACGACAAGTTCAAGAGGACTTCTTGAGGATGTTGTAGATTACTTCAAAAGAAAGTCCAGAGAAAGTCTTGAAGTTCCAGAGGGAGTTCTAAGAATTTCCAAAAAATAATTCCTATGGAAAGTTATAGGAACATCCGAACGAAAGTTTTTGGAACTCCCAACGGGAAGTTTTAGGATCATCCGATGGGAATCTATACGAACTATCGAATGGACCTTCCAAAGATTTTCACGAAACTTTTGACGGGAAATTCTACGAACTATCAAATAGAGGAAGTCCAGAGGTCTTGTGGAGAAAATCTAGAGGACGTCTGGAAAAAGTTGAGAGGAATTTTGGAGAAAGTCCGTGATACTTCTAGAGAAAACTTAGAGGACTTCTGAGAAATTTTGGGGGACTTCTGAGAAAGCCCGCAGGCCTTCTGGAGAATGTCTAGAGGACTTCTTTAGGATGTTTTAGATGGCTTCTGGGAAAATTTCAAAGTACATGTGGAGAAAGTCCACAGGACTTCTAATGGAAGTCCAGAAGATGTTTTGAGGTTCCAGAGGTTGTTCTAAAGAAAATTCAGAGGACTTTCGGGGAATTCTGGGAGACTTCAGAAGCAAGCCCTACTGGAGAATGTCCAGAGGACTTCTGGAGGAAGTTCCAGAGGACTTCTTGACGATGTTGTATATTACTTCAAAAGAAAGTCCAGAGAAAGTCTTGAAGTTTCAGAGGAAATTCTAGGAATTTCCAAACGGGAAGTTTTAGGAACATACGATGGAAAGCTATAGGAACTATCGAATGGAAGCTCTAGGACCTTCCAAAGAGAGATTTTGACGAAACTTTTGACGGGAAATTCTAGGAACTATCAAATAGAGGAAGTCCAGAGGTCTTCTGGAGAATATCTAGAGGACATCTGGAAAAAGTTCAGAGGACTTTTGGAGAAAGTTCGTGATACTTCTAGAGAAAACTCATAGGACTTCTGAGAGATTTTGGGGGACTTCTGAGAAATCCCGCAAGCCTTCTGGAGAATGTCTAGAGGAATTCTTGAGGATGTTTTAGATGGCTTCTTGGAAAAGTTCGAAGTACATCTGGAGAAAGTCCACAGGACTTTTAATGGAAGTCCAGAGGATATTTTGAGGTTCCAGAGGAGGTTCTAAAGGAAATTTAGACGACTTCTGGGGAATTCTGGGAGACTTCAGAAGCAAGCCCTACTGGAGAATGTCCAGAGGACTTCTGGAGGAAGTTCCAGAGGACTTCTAGAGGATGTTGAAGATGACTTCTAAAGGAAGTCCAGAGAAAGTCTTGAAGTTCCAGAGGGAGTTCTAGGAACTTCCAAAAAATAGTTCCAATGGGAAGTTATAGGAACATCCGAAGGAAAGTTTTAAGAACTTCCAACGGGAAGTTTCAGGAACATCCGATGGGAAGCTATAGGAACTATCGAATGGACTTCCCAAAGAGATGTTCACGAAACTTTTGACGGGAAATTCTAGGAACTATCAAATAGAGGAAATCCAGACGAGGTCTTCTGGAGAAAATCTAGAGGACGTCTGGAAAAAGTTCAGAGGACTTTTGGAGAAAGTCCATGATACTTCTAGTGAAAACTCATAGGACTTCTGAGGAATTTTGGGGGACTTTTTAGAAAGCCCGCAGGCCTTCTGGAGAATGTCTAGAGGACTTCTTGAGGATGTTTTAGATGGCTTCTTAAGTTCAAAGGGCTTCTGGAGAAAGTCCACTAGACTTTTAATGGAAGTCCAGAGGACTTCTTGAGGTTATTTCTAGGAACTTCCTAGAGATAATTCTAGGCAGCGCTGTCATATGATGACTCAATGCACGCAATGTTCTGATTTTCTTAAATAAACAAAGTGAGAATCAAGCAAACACAAAGTTTGCTTGTCTTTCACCCTGCACAAGTGTAAAGCAGCAGAGAAGAGAAGACAAACACACACCCAGAAATAACGAATGCTCAATGTGTAGCCATCACTCCGACGGCTCCGACGCAAAGAGCGCCACTCTTCTTATTCTTAT